GGCTTCCATAGGGCTCTATGAGTTCTCATTAAGCTTCCTAAGGACATTCCTTTTCATAGGCCACCATTTTCAGGGTCTTGGGGAGAGCTGCTTAGATGTGCTGTTAAAATTAATTAGCACTTTTTTTAAAAAGAGAATTATTTCATCATTTTAAACAGAAATGTGAATTTGACTTCGAGTGAATAATTTTTTGTTCTGTTCAGACAACAGATCAGAGAATAAAACGAGAAAACATAAAGGAAAAGCGAAAGGCTATGTTAGAAGCAAGACTTGCCAAACTTCGACAAAAAAAGATTAAAAAATCAAAGGAAGATGGGACTGAAGAAGAAAATAGAGGTATTTCATGTCTTAAATTTCTGACTTTCACAGGGAAATTTTATATCTCTTGGTGTTCACTAATAGGATTACAGTGTAGGAATCGGCAGCTTAGTTTTATCTCTAAATATCATGTGCCTTTGAAGTACCACCAGGAACAATTTTTATTATTGTTCTTAAGTATTTCCATTTACTTATTTGTTACTGTATGTGGTGTGTGAGCGAGTGTGGGTGAGTATGTGTCAAAACACAGGTACGGAGGTTAGAGGGCAGTTTTCAGTAGCTTGCTTTTTGCTTTCTTTGTGAGATCCTTGGATCAGAGTCAGGTCATCAGGTTTCCTTAGCAGGCACTCTTACCCACTGAGCCATCTCACTGTCCAGGAGCAGTTTTTATAGCTAGAATGATTTGGAATGACACTCTCATGTTTTTAGGCAATAGACAAGACACATTGAGTTGCTTCTTATAATGACAATTTAGTAAACCAAGACTTAAAAGTTTGGCTGTATACATATATAAGAAATAAAGTTTTTAAATTTAAAAATATAGACAAAAATATAAAGCTACATATTTGGGGGGGTACCATGGGATGTTTTCCATAACTGCATATATTATGGGATAAAAATCAAGGTAAAGATGTGACCAACTGCACAAAGTTGTCCTCTGACCTACATATGCTGTGGCAGTCACACCCACTCACATAGAGAAATAAGTATTGTCATACTAATGTCTGTCTAATCAGACATGCTTGCTGCTCCCATTAGCATTTGCTTCAAAATTAATGTTAAATTTTTATTTTTTGTTTTTTGTCCTGGAACTTGCCCTGTAGATCAGGCTGGCCTCAACTCAGAGATCTACCTACCTCTGTTTCTTGAGTGCTGAGATTAAAGGCGTGCACCACCACCTCTCAGCTTAGTATGTTAAATTTTAAACCCATGGTAATAAGGTCTTATTTCCTTACAAAATTAGGTGGAGATGTTACTGTGCTTTTGCCATCAGAACCAAAGGCTGTACCTGCTCCACCTCCTGTGGCCCAGAACAGCAAGGTAGAGGTCATCATCCAGGAGCGGAAGGACACCAAGCCTGGAGTCCCACACATCCGAGAGTGGGACCGCGGAAAAGGTGGGGAGGAACTTTTAGGTCTGAAAACTTCTAGTGAGGCCCTTGGAAAAGTAGTTTTTGTTTTAAATCAAAGTAAGATTCTGGTGCGATTATATTTTTATTTTTTTATGGTGTAGAGATGAATCCAGGGCCTTACACACGCTAGGAAGAGCTCTGCATCTGAGCTCCATCGTCAGCTCCACAGGGAGTCGGAGTACTCCTGAGGCTTACGGAAGTCTCTATCCTGGACACTAGTTGTTTATACAGGGAAATGGGGAAAATGTGATCACAGAAGACCAGCATCTGCGAAGGCATTCTGTCCACAGAATGAATACATTTCTGAAAGTTACTTGGCAAGTTTAAACCCATATTTTTAGGTGTGTCTTTACGTTCTGGAATGTAACTTTTCAGGAACTGCTTTTAAAGTATGATGGAGGTTTGGTATTCTGAGGAAATCTGTCTTTAGCCATCCTTTGTGTTTGTTTGAAAGCTTACCTGAGCTTCTGTTGTGCGTGCTCATCTTTCTAAGTTTTCACCAAGGTGCCCACCACAGTCTTCACTGCAGCAGACTGTGTTTTATGCCTGTTTTAAAGATACTCAGTGGAACCTTAGCTCCTGCTGTTGGAGCTGACAAGAGAAATCTAAGAGCCACTGTTCAGATCGGATGAGTCCCTTCTGTGTCCTCCAGAACTCAACAAATGACAGACTGCTTTGATGTGAAACACCTACCATGTCAACTTCAGCAAATAATTGATTATTTCAGTTCTCTGTAATTGTAGTGTCCTTTAGGCAGTTGCATGAGCAACTTAGGCAGGTCCAGAGCATGTCAGCCTCTCTACAGAATATCTTTTTTTTTTTTTTTTGAGACAGGGTTTCACTGTTTAGCTTTGGCTGTCCTGGAACTCATTTTGTAGACCAGGCTGGCCTCAAACTTACAGAGATCTGCCTATCTCAGCCTCCCAAGTGCCAGGAATAAAGGCATGTGCCACCACCGCCCAGCCTGTGGTAGCTTTTAAATGCATATAAGAACAGAAAAATTTAAAAAAAAAACTGAAAAATTATAGTAAACTTGACTGGTTCATAATTGTTTCTAATAATATTCTTTCTTATTTTCACTAGAATTTTCTTTTGGGTACTGGTCGAAGAAGCAGTCAGAACTCCGGGCTGATCGAGATCCTGAGTTTGCCCCACCATCGAATTACTTTGTGGGTCAAAAGAGAACTGGTGCTTTGAGCAGCCAGCCATGGAGCAAACCGGGACCAGCACCAAGCGACTCGGGGCACGGCTCTGGCTCTTCACACACATCTGCTTCTGCCTCTGAAAGCCCATCACAGGCCTCCACAGTCACTTTCCAAACCCTAGATGATATGATATCTTATTATAAACAAGTCACATGACCTTAAAAAGCATGCTATTGCATTTGTGTCATCAGAAGTCAGGATAGGACTGAGTTTTACGTCTTCCTTCCTGTCCTTTCCCTAGGATGCACAGGCTTGGGGCCAGATTAGTTAGAAGGGAGGAGTGAGTCTACCCATGGGAGCTCACTGGCTACTTAGCCGTCCATTTTTAACGCTTGGTGTAGAGGGAATTTAACTCCTCCCCTTTGTGCTGACCCAGTTGTAACACATTTGGATTTCCAGGTGTGAGAACTGTAAATACTAATCTAAAATTTGATACTGAGTAACTTGTTACTTTTTAAGGTTATTTTATATGTGTGAATGTTTTGCCTTTCTATATATGTGTGCACAACGTGTGTGCCTGGTGCCCAAAGGGGTCAGAAGAGTGCATTGGAACCCTGGAACTGGAGTTATGGATAATTGTGAGCCACTATGTGGGTGCTGGGAACTGAATTTTGATCCTCTACAAGAGCAGCCAATGTTGTTAACTACTGATCCATCTGTCCATACCCTGCAGAGGAGTGTATAACCCTGCTTCACAAACACACCTACCCATGACTTCGCTTATAGGACTACATTCCTTTCCTTTCAGAAATGCTAGCATGCTGGTATCTGTTCCACAGATTCAACTTCCCAGACAGGTAATGGAGCAATGTCAGGAGTTTTTACCTGTCCATCAGGCAAATAAGGGACTATTGTAGGAGGCAAAGTGGAAAAGGGAAACTGGTGAAATGCTAACTAAGCAGTCACATCTGAAGCCATAAGGTCAGAAAGAGCACCTACAAATCAGAGAGGGAGAAGTTGATTGCTGATCTGTGTCAACATATTATCCAGTTGCCTATATCCCTGTTTCTCTGGACATCTGGAGTTGTGCTGAATTACTTGGGCATTCCTGAAGGCTGTTGAACCTGGTTAGAAACCAGCACTCCTAGTTTTGCCAATTAGAGCTTTGGCATTGTCTTTCTCTCCTGCCTTAGTACATCCTGGTGTTTCCATTGCTTGAGGCTTCTTGACTCTCTGTAGCCTGACTTGGACCCCATTGTGTAGACTAGGTAGGTCCCTGCCTGTATCCTTATTGAATCCACAGGATGTCACTAAGTAGCGGTGTCAGAGGATTAGCCCATGCAACTGCAGACAGGCAGTCAGGAGTTGGCCGCCAAGCCTTTGTGGGAGCAGTGGGTCCTTTCCAACTCAAGGAAAGTCTCTGCAGTGCCCTGAAAGAATTGAAAGAGGTGTGAGGGAAGACCTACTCTTTGGGGTCTCCTTGATAGCTTTTTCTCTGCTCACTCAGCATTATGAGTAGAAGTGTTCTATTCGTCCTGTGATGACCCACGTGGTGCAAGGTCATGTGGCATCTAAGTGTCAGTTCCAGGACTTAACCAACGTATATCTAACCTCTAGACTGATGCACCTTTTTCTAGCACCCAGTCTTGTCCCAGTTGAAGAAAGTTACCTTTGAACTCCACAGCAAAGGGAAAGCTAGACACAATGTCATCAAGCAAATACCTCTTAATATACATCAAAACGCTAACCCAGCTGCTTTTTTTTTTTCCAGAAATGACAAATGCATTCTAAAATTCAATGGAAATGCCAGGGACCCAGAATAGCCAGAGAAAAGATGGAGGACCAGACTTCTTGATTCAAGACTTTGCAAAGCTACCACAGTACAAATGGTGTGGTACTGACACAAGAACACAGGCACATAGGTCAGTAGGGTAGAATACAGCCAGGTGTTCATGGGCAGTTGACTCTTAATAAGGGTGCCAGGACCATCCAATGGGAAGGAACACATTTCACAACATATTGTCCAGGGCAAAGCAATGAGTTTTGACCTGAAACCATATCTAAAAGGCAACTCAAGATAAACCAAAGACCCAAAAGTAAGGACAGAAACTAAAAAGTCAACCTTTATGTGGGCAGAAGTAGTCAAGCACAGCCACTCATCACTGACAACTAGTAACTGCAGGTCACATGTTCTCTGGGATTTTGAAGACTCTGTAAGTCACTTTCTAATCCCTTCTTTACCACATCAATTATAAGGCTTTTTGACAAGCCCAGCTTACCTTCCTGTTTCAGTTCCTCAGATGAAACATGAAATCCACTTCAGAGTTGTTTCTCATGGAGCAGTTTTGTGTGCGAGTGTCCAGAAGATGGCAGCAGACCCTCAGAGTTCAGTTTCCTGCTCCAAAACAGTACTGGCGTCAAAGGGAAGCAAGGAAAAGTGTCACTTTTGGTTTTCTTTCTTTTTGGTAGACAGTTTTATGCAGCTCCAACTGGATATGTAGCAGAGATGATTTTGTAGTCGTACAATTTCATATATGTGTGTATATAATGCATTGCTTTTCCCTTTACCCTCCACTCTCTATTTCCTTTCACCCATAACCCTCCCCCCCTTTTTCTTACAAGTCCTTTTTTCAGATTCTATTCTTTTGTTGTCTTGTGATCCACTGATTTTATCTGAGACTGTCTGTGAGACCATGGGTTTAGTACTGTCTATTGGAACCTGGACAATAACAGTGACTTTTCCCCAAAATCCATTGTAGCCATTGTTCAGCAAGGAGAAATAGGGTCCCATGAATCCCTCACCAGTCAATGATTGCTTCTTGACAGTTCTAGTCTTTTGGAGGTCCTGAGAAGGTAGTTGAAACTGCTCTGAGATTGTATGTGCTGTCATGTATGCAGTGGCTATGTTGTGCCCTGAAGATGGCATTTCACAGCCTTCTCTGTCTTCTAGCTTTTACATTCTCTGTTCCCTTTCTTGATGTTCCTGAACTTAGGAGAGGCACTCAGCCATCACTTGTTCTCAGAACTTTGAGCACCATGTGCATAGTCAAAGAGAGGCCAAAATGTCAATATTGCATTTTTGATCCCCCATTTGTGTCTCTATCTCCAGAGTACTAGCATTATAGGTATACACCACCACATCTGGTTTATGCCTCGCTGGACTTCTTTGCATTTGGGTAATGCTAACCTCTTCTGAGTAGGACTGCTCCAAATGATCATTTACTGGTTTTGTGGTCCCTGTGCATTGTCTACTTGTTAGTGACCAAAGGACTGGCAAGTCAGTGTCTTCCAGATGTACATCTAAGACACTCTGTGACTGTGTCTTACTTGGGGACAGGAAATGGTGAAACCTACAGAACATTCCTGCATCTTATTTGTGCCTCTGGAGAGCAAAGCAGACTCTCCAGCTGAACTACACTCCAGGTCATTTTAGCTTTGTTAGAACCACATTTAAAAAGTGAAATTAGTATTTTTCTATTGATCTTAGTATATCCAGAACATCTCAGTATATAGTCAGGATACAGGGACCATCAATAGATACTCTATTTGTATTGTTTTGTTTTCTTGACAGAGTCTCTAAGTAACCCTGGTTGTCCTGAAACATGCTATGAAGACTAGGCTGGTCACAAACTCAGAGATAAGTCTGCTTCTGCCTCCCTGGTGCTGGGAATAAAGATGTGTGTGCACCACAACACCCACTTTTGGTTTGGTGTATATGTGTGAGTGCCTGCATGTATGCATGTGTGCCATGTATGCCTGGTGCCCTCAGGTCATAAGAGGGTGTCATCTCCTGAAACTGGAGTTACAGGTGAAGCTGCTCCATGGGTATTGAGAACAGTTCTCTGCAAGAATAACAAGCACTTATAACTGCTAAGCCCTCTTTGTTCTTTTTTCGTATTAAGTCCTCAAAGAACACTGTATCCCACAGTGTAACTGACCTTGCATACTTATTTTTCACCAGAAACATTTTTTATCTGTACTTAGATGTTATAAAGCAGTTGAAAAAAAAAACAACTAAATTCATATCCAAGTTGTCCCAAACATTTAAGTTTTCTGATAATTGACTTGAGTGAAAATTTTAAAATTTTTTTTTTGAGATGTTAGGTTTTATCTTACACATGTTTGTCAAATGCTCTACCACTGAGCTACAGCCCCAGCTTCAATTTTTAGTTCAAATTGTTATGTTATTATATGTATATTTGTGTGTAGAGTGTATGGCACACATGTAGAGGCCAGATGACTTTGTAACAGAGTTAGTTCCTCTGTTCCACTTTTACATGAGTTAATTCCAGCTCAGACTTAGGTTTCCAGGCTTGCTAGGCAAGCAGCTTTACTCTGTTATCTGGCTCTCCTTCCCCACCATTTTCTATTTAAATCAGTGAAATTGATGTGTAATTCCTTTGTTGTGCTAACCTCTTCTGAGTAGGACTGCTCCAAATGATCATTTACTGGTTTTGTGGTCCCTGTGCATTGTCTACTTGTTAGTGACCAAAGGACTGGCAAGTCAGTTGTCTTTCAGATGCACATCTAAGACACTCTGTGACTGTGTCTTACTTGGGGACAGGAAATGGTGAAACCTACAGAACATTCCTGCATCTTATTTGTGCCTCTGGAGAGCAAAGCAGACCGTTTAGGAAGAAGCTGCTTTGAGTTCCTTGCTTTCATTGTAACTTCTCTCCAGGCCCTGTGTGCATTGGTGTAGTTCATCTGAATTGATGCAGTCAATCATTCTGCTGGCCTGCAGAACTCCCAAAGGAGAATGTTCAAATCCATATACATGAGATGCATACTGTACTTAGCTATACATTTGCCAGAGACTTGGGTCATTCCCCAGGGCTGCTGTTCAGCTGGCCTGGTTGTGACATACAGATGAGGCAGTGGAATTTAGAACCTGGAACGGGGTTGGGTACTGGTCTTTACAGTTAACACAGCAGGGTAGCCACAGCATATGTGGTTCAAGTTTCCTTTTGAGCCAGTGAGGCAAGCTGAGTCAGTTATATGTCAGACTGATCACATAAAATGCTGCTTAGCCAAGGTGAGTGATGATATTGAAAATGATTTGGTGACTTAGAAAGGTGAGAGGAGACTAATGCTGACTGTGGTTGGTAAAGGCTGTGGGCATCTGCCTCCATGTTTGAAGAGTAGGCAAGTGTGGTGCATGTGAGGGCTTCAGTGTGGTGGGGTTGATGCTAATGTCTGGGAAACTGGAAAGTCAAGATGCTCATGTGAAACCATGTCTTCATAAGAACCCATATTGGGGTTGGCTGTGCATGCCTTTGATCTTAGCTCTCAAGCAGGCAGATCTGAGACTACCCTAGTCTACATAGTGAGTTTCAACTCAGCCACCGTTATACAGTGATATGTGTCTCAAAAACAACTAAATTAGGGGGCTGGAGAGATGGCTCAGCGGTTAAGAGCATTGCCTGCTCTTCCAAAGGTCCTGAGTTCAATTCCCAGCAACCACATGGTGGCTCACAACCATCTGAAATGAAATCTGATGCCCTCTTCTGGCCTGCAGGCAGACACACAGACAGAATATTGTATACATAATAAATAAATAAATATAAAAAAAACAACTAAATTAAATAAGCCCTGACCTCTGGCAGAACATTGGTGCTTTACAGTGGTTTCTTACATCCAGGCTGCACATGTGTGTGTACAGTAAATGAGTATCCACCAATAGGAGCAGTCAGGATCTTTTTTCCTTTTAACAATCACTTTAGGTCCTTCCCTCCCTTTTTATTTTTTAATTTAAACCCATTTCTAACTGTCCTGTTTTCCTTTACTCCAGAAGCCTACGTGCTTTTGTCAGTGTGGCCTGGTTTCAAGCATTTTCTCTAGGCTGTGCTTTATCCTCTTCTGTGTCTTATTCACTGTCAGTGTTAAGCTTCCCTGAACTGAAAGCTGGTGTCCACCTTTTCCTTCCCCACCTGCTTCATCCTCTCCACCCTTCCACAGTTTTTGTGGTTTGAAGTTTTGTGAAAAGACCTGGCTCTGCTCCCTATATGGCCTCCCAGGTTACAGGTATTCTGAGTTATGCAGGACATGTGGTTTATGTAAAAATTTTCTCTAGCTCTATGGATGCTATTTTGAATTTTTAGAGAATGGTGGTCAGTGCAGTGTATAATGTAAACTAAACACCATGGGGCTGGTTAGCTTTTGTTTAAGGTTTCAGTCACTGCCTCGTTCATTAAAGTAACAAACACAAACACAGGTCAGTGTTCAGATTTGTTAAGAAGGAGCTACCAGCTAGGGCATCTTTCAGATTGATTTAACAATTGTCTTATACTGTAGCCTTCTCTCTGCCTTTGAAATGTTGCCTTGAGCATTGCTTTGAGACGTGACATCACTAGGTCATATGGACAGACATTCTTGATCTCTCCTCTCAGGAAATCCATCTCATTTGGGACTTGTTAGTGACACTGCAGTGGATGTCCCTGCAGAGTGGCCAGTTATTTAGAAGTGTTGGCACCCCAGGACTGCATCACCAGGGTTTCATGTTGAGCCTTGGCATAACATGAGGTGAAGCAGACTGCATACTAGCTCACCATGTGTGCTAAGATGCACTTTTCCATGCAACCTATTTTCTTCCCTGCTAGAGTTCTTTAGCATATCTCCACATATCCCCTCAGGTGCCAGGCAGCTCAGAGGGCAGCAGGGATGAGCATTTCTGTTCTGTCACCACAAGCCATGCTTGTACACAGGACAGTCAACACAAACCACATCCTACATCCAGTTCCTTGTATGGACATCTGTAACTAAAGCCAGAGGGAGCCAGAAAGTAGAAAGGCAGGACCAGATGACCTGAGGAAGCCTGCTTTCCCTTTGTGTATTGTTATATGCACTGTTACCCAAATGTGTTCATGGCTCAGTGCCACAACAGGAAAGAATGTGTGTCCTTCCTTTTAAATCTCAACACAAATTTGCCTCGTGTCACATGTGCCTTGCTGTTTTGTGGTATGTGTGCTCACAGCAGTGTCACAAAAAGTAGGAGTAATTTGCCTCACAGTGCTGTCATGGCCATGACAACTGTGATGTCACTAAATGATGGGACATTTCAACTCCATTGTGATCTGAAGTGGTGAGCATGCATTCTGTCATCATGAGCCCTTGGCAGTGCTGCCTGAAATGTGTGAAAACACGGCAACTACAAGCTTTAGTTTAACAGGCATGATCCTGTTTCATCTGTGACTCTCTCTAGGCCCAATTGCCTCAGAGGGCTCTGCTATAACATCATGTGGTTTTTTTCCCTGCTCTGAACTGCTTGTTGCCTTCTTAACTTCAGGGACATCTTTTGGTCTGCCTTCTTTTGACACTTCTTTGGGTGTTATGGTGGTTTGAATGATAGATGTTCCTCTATTTTTAGGCATTTGAATACTTGGCCTCCATTTTGAGGCACTATTTGTGGGGGGGGGGGGTAGGAGCTATGCCCTCATTGGAGGAGGTATGTCACTGAGGTGGGTTTTGAGAGCTTAAAGACTCCGGCCACTATTTGAGTTTGTTGTCTGCTTGTGGCTTGAGGTTTGAAATTGAAGCTCTAAGATGTTCCTGCTCCCATGCCTACCTGCTGTGCTTCCCATTGTGATGTGATGCTTATCTCTCTGGAGCCTTTAACCCAAATAAACCCTTCCCTTCATAAGCTGTTTATCATGGAGTTATTTCACAGCAAAGGAAAAGTAACAGGTTGGTACCAGGAGTAGGGTATTGCTGTGACAGACCTGACCATGCTGTCTTTTGGAGGAATGTGGGAAACTTTGAAGCTTTAGACTAGAAAAGCATTCGAACACTGTTAGCAGACCTTAATGGGCCACCTTAGTTGGAGCTTGGAAAACAGCAGTGCTGAGAGCTATGTAGATGGTGGAAGCCTAATTCAATAGGTTTCAGGGGGGAACAATATTAACAAGTGTGCAAGATTGTTATCTTGGTAAAACTGTGACTCCTGTCCTAAGAACTTGCTTGAGACTAAATTTAAAAGCAGTGGACTTTGCCATAGGAGATTAAGACCTCCTCATATTGACTCTGTTGCATAGTTAGTAATCTTATGCAGTGAAAAAGAACAAATAGAATAGGAAGAAATATAAAATGTAATTTCAAGAGAAAAAGAACTCCAGGAAATTGTTGCAGCCAAATCTTGTGCTGAAAGAGATAGGGAAATTAAAGAGAGGTCTGATCTATAGTAAAATAAAGGGAAGAGTGCCCTCAGGGAGAGACCCTATCTAGCTAAACTTCCAGCTTGTGAAAAGAAAAGGTCTAGGGAATTTTCTGAACCTAGAAAGGAACAGTAAACAAAAGTGCAGCAAGTGTGACTCAGTGGGGCCCAGGGTTCATCCAGACCTGGCAGCTGAACTTGGCAATACTGCCTATATGGTGCTGGTTCTAGAGTCATAAAGGATATACTAGTTAAGAAGTTGTGGAATCTTCCTCTGTGGTTTCAGAGAGCTGCCGAAGCCAGGCATTTGAAGGGGAGTCCCTATATGGAAGCCCTGAAAAGCCACTGTGTGAAGCTGTGGAAGTGAAGCTTGTGTTGCATTGGAGACCCCAGTATGTTGTGAGGCATCTGTCAAAGGGAGAACAAAGGAAGTGGGACCAGTCTGAGAGGCATGCAGCAGAGCTGAAGATAGGAAACCATATAAGCTCTTTGATATTAGGCATGGAGCTACAGGATTTGGAGTTTGCCCTGCTGAGTTTTGGTCTTGCTTGGTCTAGTATTTTCTCCCTATACCCCCAGTCATCCTATTTGAAATAGTAATGTATGTCTATGCCATTGTATTTTGGATGTATATAATTTGCTTTTTTATTTCATAGGAGGTTACAGTAAAAAGATTGCCTTAAGTCTCAGAAGAAATTTTGCATTTTTTAATACATTTTTAATTGATATTTATTGAGCTCTACATTTTTTTCTGCTCCCCTCCCTGTCTCTCCCCTCTCCCTTCTATCCCCCCCTGTAACATGAGGGGGCCAGGCCTGCTTGTTGGGGGTTTTCTGTCCTGCCCGACCCCCCAAGCTGTTTAGTCCCAGAGAAAAATCACACTGAGATCTCTATAAGTTATAAAGCTGATTGGCCCATTAGGTCAGGCTACTTATTAGCTAACTCTCTCATCTTGATTAACCCATTTTTCTGATCTATGTTAGCCATGTGGCTCAGTACCTTTTTCAGCTGGGGCAGCTCACATCCTGCTGCTTCGGTGATCTGGGCAGGAGTGGGGGAATCAGCTTCCTCCTCCCTAGAATTCCTCCTGCTCTCCTTGCATCATTTCCACTTCCTGTCTGGGTTTCCCACCTACACCTCCTGCCTGGTCAATCAGCATTTATTTAAAACATGATTGACAGCATGATTGACAGAATACAGACAATTCTCCCGTACCACTTCCCCCCCCCTTTAAAAAAAAAAAACAAAGGAAAATATCCATAGTCCATGTTTTTGGGAATGTGGGTGTAGTATTCCAGGCTACTTCCTGCTGGTTGGGGGCGCTGATAATTTTATGGGGACCTAAAGAAAATTTAGAGTTATGATCAAGTCCTGACTGAAGTATCTTGTGAGTCTTGATCATCTCAGGCAGCAGTCTTGAACCTGTTCTGGATGAAGAACTCAGACATCTGGGCCATCTGTTCCTACTGGAGATTGCTCAGGTGATCTCCCTTGGTCAAAGATGATTTTTCTTAACTCTGAATAAATCCAGAGCCTCTCATTTTCTGTGGAAACAAAAGCAAAATCTCTTCTCCAAAGTAATATACCTTTTGACTTCAATTTTGAAGCCAAGGTATTTTCAAAATACCTATCTTGGATTAATTCTGCAGTATTTATAAGCAAATATCTTTTAGCAGCTGTTGCTCCCTCCTCAGCATTCAAACGATTTAAAGAGAGCATAATAGCATACAGTATCGAGATTCTCTGTATATTTTCCATTTTTTATGCAGCTTTATTTTAACCTCTGTTTCTTTTATCTTTACTTTTATCCTTTGGCTTTTTGAGACAGGTTCTCTGTATATCTTTGACCTGGAATTCTCTCTATAAACCAGGCTATCCTTGAACTCCCAGAGATCTGTCTGTCTCTGCCTCCCCAGTGCTGGGATTAAAGGTGTGTACCACCACACCCAACTACTCTCTTTTTTTCTTTTAAGGCTTTAAACCTTTTTTTTTCAAGTATGCATATATTTTTAACACACTGTAAACCATTTAGAGGTTTTCTTACTCTTTGAATCTCTCCTTACTGTATATCTCTTCTTTTTTTGACCACATGGGTCTTTAATTTGGTAAGGATTATGGAGAAGACAACACTCAAAAGCTTATATGGCGTTTCAAGGTCCTTGCCAGGAAGCAAGCTGCAACGTTGTATCCATAGTCCCGACTGCCTGTTTGAAAGAGTCAGAGTTTTCCCTGGCAGGCCGGCCCAGAAAGCCAGCATTTTAAAACAGTGCAGCTTTTTTCCTGCTACAGCTGAAAACTGAAATGCTTTACTCTAGTCTTTACCAAGCATTCCCAGGCTTTCTGTAGATTCAATTATCCACGTTGGCGCCATTATGTAACATGAGGGGCTGTTTGTTTGTTGGGGGTTTTTGTCCTGCCCAGTTGTTACACTCCCCCAAGGTCCCCATGTTCCCAATTTACTCAGGAGATCTTGTCTTTTTTCTACTTTCTACTTCCCATGTAGGTTATATCTATGTAAGTATCTCTTAGTGTCTGCATTGTTGTCTAAGATTGTGGTTTGTAGGCTAGCTTTCTTTGCTTTATGTTTAAAAACCACCTATGAGTGAGTACATGTGATAATTGTCTTTCTGTGTCTGATTACCTCACTCAAAATAATGTTTCCTAGCTCCATCCAGTTTCCTGCAAAATTCAAGCTGTCGTTATTTTTTTCTGCTGTGTAGTACTCCATTGTGTAAATGTACCACATTTTCCTTATTCATTCTTCAGTTGGTGGGGGGCATTTAAGCATTTAGGTTGTTTCCAGGTTCTGGCTGTGACAAACAAAGATGGCTCCCAGGACTGAATTTGCTCCTGGCTTCTGCTCCCAGTGGAGCTTGTTTCCTCAGGCCCTCTCTTTCCTAGGTGTCTTGTTCCACACCTGTGGAATTTGTTGCCCAAGGTGGAGTTCCTTGCCTCAGGGCAATTTTGGCCTAGGTTACCGGTTTTGACCTGTATCTGTAAATCCTGGTCTGGATTCCCTCCTGTAGAAGTCCCTGGGTTGGAATTGGACCTGGAAAGGTTTCTGGTTCCAGTTGGTCTACTGCCTCAGAGGTCCCAGGCTCGGGTGCTCCTGAACCCGCAGAGGACCTGCTTACGTCCTCACAGGTCCCAGACTCATGCTTGGACCCGCAGGGGTTCCAGGTTCTTGCCTATTCCCTTTCATGTCCCAGACCAATGCCCGAACCCACAGAGGTCCTGGATCAGGCCTACTCTCTCTGAGGTCCCAGACTCACGCATGACCCCCGCTGAGATCTCTGGTTCCTGCCTATTCCCTCGGAGGACCCAGGTTTACTCATGCCCAGACTGGCAGAGGTCCTGGCTCAGGCCTAGTTCCTGGGATGTCATAGACTCTCACCCAGACCCACCCGGGTATTGTCTTAGGTCTACTCCCTTGAAGGTCCCGGATTCACATCAGGACCCTTAACAGTCTCTGGCTCACTCACTCAGCAGTTACTCCCCTGTATCTGTTCCGGTGGAGATCGTTGACTCTGGATCTGGTCGCTGGCTCAATCCTGATCCACCCGTGTCCTGGCACTGGGTTTGCTTCTGGCTTCTGCTCCTGGTGGAGCTTGTTCTCTCTCTGTCCTAGGTAGTCGGTTCAGTCCCACTCCAGTTCCGGTGAAACTGAACTTTTTAAACAGTGCTATGACTAAAGACTGCAGGGCTTTGTAAGTTGTACTAAATATATTTTGCACTATGATATGGCCATGATACTATGGGGGCCAGGGAGTGAAATGTGGTAGTTTTGAACAGTGTATTCTCTGTATTCTCAGGCATTTGAATACTTTGTCCCTAGTTTATGGCACTGTTGGGGGTGGGGGATGTGGCTTACGAGGATATCATCATTGAGACAGGTTTCGAGAGCTTAAAGACTTGTACCATTTTCAGATTGCTCTCTGCTTGCTGCTTGAAGTTTGAAATGTGGTCTCTCAGCTGTTCCTACCACCATGTCTTCCTGCTGCCATGTTTCCCCATTGTGATGGTAATGCTGATCCCTCTGGAACCATAAGCCCTTCCTTCCATAGCTTGTCTTGGTTACGATATTTTGTCACAATAGAAACGTAGATATACAGAAGAATTTGCACATTCTTCTGAAGTGTGATTCCTATTGAAGGCAGTTTCGTTTCATTCTTCCTTTTGGCATTGAGGTTCTCCAAAGCTCAATCCTGGAAGAGTGAGTGGCAGAATAAAATTAGACAAGAGAGTGGAGTGACCCAAAATGGCTACTTCTCAGAAATAATATTTGATGGCAAGAATAGAGGTGTGAATGAAGAAGTAGCTTTTAGACACTAGGAGCAAACACAAAAGGGTCATTTTTCTATGTGGGAGAAATTTGGCAAAAGGATGGTATGGGGTCCTACAATATTATCAGTAGTCTAGGTTCTATTGTTCTGTATAATTACCCCTAGCTCATGGCTTCCCTCTTCAAGGTAACTTCATGGTTCAAAATGACTGCTGGGAATACTCCTATCTCATCCCTTCCAGGCAAGACATATGAGAAGGGCAGTGAGTGACTAAAAGGTGTGTGTTCTATAAAGACAGCCTCCTTTACAGGTAAGTCTCAAGGTCCTCTACTCAACAGCTTCATATTCATCTTAGAGATAGACTTAGTAAGACACTTTTTAAGGCAAATTTTGAGGAGATGTAGTATGTTATCTGTGCATTTAATTAAAATAACATTTCTTTTAAAATTGTTTCTTAGATCTGAATAGATATGTTTCCAATTATATAAAATACCTGGTAAGCATATGAAAAGTGCTTAGCATCTCTAGACACATGGGATTGTAAATCAAATCACTACCTTCATACCTACTGTGATGATACCAGAATCAAAACAATAGTGATAAGATTTGTCTACAAGGAATGTAGAAATTGGGACCTTTGTACCATTGCTGGTGACTGTGAAGTAGGGTTGTTGCTTTGCTAAAGCCTGGAGTTCTTCAGAAAAATAAACATTGAGCACTGGAGAGATGGTGCAGTCAATAAAGTGCCTGCTGTGCAAGCTTGGAGACCTGGGTTCTGAGCCCCAGCATGCGGTGGAGGAGTAAATGGAGGTGGAGAGAGACAAAGGCCAGTCCAGCCAATCAGTGAGCTCTAGTTTTAGAGAAAGACACTCATAAAAAAAAAAAAAGACAAAAGTGAAATGGAGAATGGTCAAGAAAGTCACTAAAAACTAACCTGTAGCTTCCATTTACACACACACACACACACATGCACATGTACCCTTCCACACATGTAACACACCCCACTCCACCCTCAGAAATATATGAGCTAGTAAGAGGACTCAGCGGGTAAAGTGCTTCTTGTGCAACCCTGGGTAACTTAAGTTGAGCTCTTTGAATCCATGTAAAACTAGAAGGTGAGGGTCAACTACATACAGTTATTCTCTGACCTTCATACACATGCACCAACAATGATAAAATGAAAAACAAGATCTGGTGGTGTTTTTTATTTTGTGTATGAGTATTTTGTTTTCATATATGTTAATTTACCATCTGCATGAGTGGTGCCCTTAAGGCCAGAGGAGGGCTTCAAATCTGGAACCAGAGTTATAGACAGTTGTGATCCACCATGTTGGTGGTGGGAATTGAACCTGGGTCCTCTGGAAGAGCAGCCAGTGCTCTTAACCACTGAACCATTTCTCCAGCCCCATGACACCTGCCTTTAATTCCAGCACTCAGGAGGCAGAGACAAGTGGATCTCTGGGAGTACTGAGGGCAGCCTGGTCTACATCATTTCAGGCAAACCAGAGCTATAGTGAGACTGTTTCAACAAACAAGCAACAGTAAAACCCAAAAAGTAATGAAGTATTTGTGCATGCTGTTACATGGGTGGACTTTTAAAATTTGTTTTGTGTATGAGTGTTTTGTATGCATGTATGTCTATGCACTGTGTGTACAGTGCCTGAAGAGGCCATTAGAGGGGCGTTAGATTCCCCGGGTCGGGAGTTACAGATCATTGTGAGCTACCATGTGAGTTCTGAGAACCTGGGTCACTCTGAACTGCTAACCCATGTCTCCAGGTCATAACTATTTTTTTTTCTTTGAGACAGGGTTTCTTTCTGTAACCTTGACTTTCCTGAAACTTGATCTGTAGACCAAGCTAGCCTTGAACTCAGAAATCTGCCTGCCTCTGCTTCTCAAGTGCTGGAACTAAGGCATGTGCCATCATGCATGGCCCATCACAGATAAACTTTAAAAACATCATGGCAAACAAAACAACCATCACAAAGGAGCACGCATATTTATGCTTTTATTTCTTCTTTGAGAATTTCATACATGCATATAATGTATTGTGACCTTATCCACACACACCCATTCTTTCCTACTACCCCTCCAAAATCCGCTAATCTTTTCACCTGGTAACTTCTTGTCTCTTCTTTCCTTTTTTTTTTTAAAAGCCTATTATATTGACTACCTTCCAGTTTCTGTGACAAATACCATGACTATAAGCAACTTACAGAAGCAAGAATTTACTACTTTGGCTCACTGTTCCAGAGGGAAAGCCTGTAATGTCCAAGAAGGCATGGCATGGTGGCAGGAACAGGAAGCTAACTGTTTACAACTTTATTTACTCACCCAAAGCAGAGACAGAAAGTTAGATTGGGAAGTGAGGCAAGGCTAAAAACCCTCAAGGCTAACTCCGGTGATATAAGTCAGCAAGCCTGCATCTCCTTACAGGCTCCCAAAACTTCCCCCAGAATAGTGCCACCAATCTAGGACCAAGTGTTCAAATATGTGAGCCTGAGACATTTCTCATTTAAACCACCATGCCCACCAAGTCCAATTAGTGTTTCTGTTATGTGCATGGGTGTGGGTTCATCAACTGGTACTTGGGAACCATATTCTCAAACAAACATTACTTCTTCCTCCAATAACCATCAAGTACCAATTGGGGTAGGAAGGACCACATAATTCATAATTCCCTTTATATTAAATGTCCAGAACAGGCAAATATGGGCTACTAGGAGATAACTCAATTGATACCTTGCTGACTGTGCAAGCATGAAGGCCTGGGTTTGACCTCCAGTACTATATTTACTGTGCAGTAATTCCAGTGCTAGGGAGAAACAGATTTCTGGGGCTCATTGATCATCTGGTCTATCCTATAAGTGACTCCCAGGTTCTAGTAAGAGACCCTGTCTAAAAAGAAACAAGGTGTGTGACTCTTGAGAAACAATATCTAGTCTCCACATTCTTCTTTTTTTGTGTGTGTGTGGGGGGTGGGTGGTTGAGACAGGGTTTCTCTGTCACTTTGGATCCTGTCCTGGAACTAGCTCTATAGACTAACCTCCAACTCAGAGAGATCCACATGCCTCTGCCTCCCAAGTGCTGGGATTAAAGGCGTGTGCCACCACTGCTTAGCATTCTTGTACAAGCATGCACATATATCTGCACATACATATGTATATAAACATACATTTCAAAAAAAGAGGCAAATCTGGGACTGGAGAGAAGTCTCAGTGGTTAACATTTGCTGCTCTTCCAGTGAACCCAAGATCAGTTTACAGCACCCAAGAAAGGCAGCTCACAACTTGTCTATAACTTCAGTTCCAAGGAGATCCCATGCCTCTGGCCTCTGCAGGCACCTGCACTAATGTGTATGTACCCACATGTGGATGTACATACCTATACCTTATTAAAATCATTTAAAAAATCTTAAAAACAGGTCAGTCTATATACACAGGCTAGATGAAGTTGTTTGGGATAAGCAAAATGGGAGTGATCACAAATATACTTGTTTAGGAGATGAACTGCTCTAAAATTCAATAATATTGGCTGCATTTCTGAATATACAACACATAAATGTTCATTTTACAAAAACTGAGGCACACAATGTGGGGTTTATAGTTCTGCCTGCTCTTTTATCTATATGCATGGCATATCTTCATAATTAATATCAAGTGATAGGAACTAATTAAGAGTATGGGAGAGAAGTTTCCCAAACAGTTAGCATTGCAAGGATTTCAGGGATTGCTTAGTCATGTTTTCTTCATTTCAGTCCTGAGTGAAGGAAGAGGAGGAGGTGGAGGAGGAAAAAAGGAGGGTGGGATGGTGAGGGTGACAGGGGAAGAAATATCATCATCATCTGCCCTGTACAGTTAGGGTCAGACCTCTCTGACTTGCTGCCCTAATCCCTGAGATTCTGAGTGGCGTCTTTGTTCTGTGGACTGACCATTCCAGAATAAATCTATTTTCTGAGTCTGTGAAGCTGAGAAATGGCAGTGCTAGAGATCAGCAGATAGACACAGGAAGCCACTTTGTCTTCAAGCCTGTAGAATATTAGGAACTTTGTCCTATGGGACTCTTGCTGTTTGGGAACTTTGTTCCTGATAGATGGGCAAAGATAGATCAAAGGCCAGGGAGAAGTGGTATAGTGTTTGCAAAAGTCTTCATGCTTTGACTCTAGGGACAGATATGTCCCAGTCTAGAGCTCTGGTTCCTCTTCAGCAAGTTAGGAGAGAGAACAGTCTCCTCACCACAGGTTGTACACAGCTAGTGAGCATGGACCTCTGCAAGCACTTCAGGTGTGTGCCCGAGGAGCTGTCCTGGAATGCTCCTGGAACGTGGGGTGGGCCCCAAGGTCAGAGCTTGAAAAGGAGAAGAGGATTGCCTGTGTGGGAAAGTGGGAAAGGGATGACTGGACAGCTGCACTCGCCAGATGCAGCCAGCAGCCCACCCTCTGCTCTTGTGGCTGACATTGCAAGCATACTAGATTGGCGTCCAGATAGATGGTAGAGATAAGCCAGCACGGTAAGGAGAAGCTAGAAATGCTACAGATGGGCAGTCCCATGTGTTGCCCTCCTGTAGAAGTTCACATCCTCATGAAGGCCTCAGAAATAAACAGGCATTATTGGGCATTGTTCTTGTTCAGCGTAAGATCTGAAAGAGGATTTATGTTTTCATATGTTATCTAAACCCAACCCCCTGCCCCCCAGTGCTTATTTGAGCATTGAGACTCCTTAAGCATCTCTTTTAAAGAAGGAAAATGCTCCCCACAATCCCTAATGTTAGGGTATGCATTTTTCACACTATAACATCTCCACAGTTGTGTTACATCTTCCAGCCAATGGTATCTTTCTAACAGTGCATTTTCCAATTGTTGATGTCCTAGACTTGGTGGAATGTGATCTGTGCTATAAGATACTGAATTGTGGGGTTGCATTGTCCTTCATGCTCTGTCTCTGGTCTAGACTGTACATGTTGATTAATCGGATACCCAGCCCAGGTTTGTGACCAGAAGCTCTCATGTCCCTTGTTTCTGGAAAGAACCAATGGCATCCTTTAATTTTTTTCAAACTTTTTTTAGTAGACCACAGGCAGATCTTCTGTCCTCAGGTTGCTAACTAACAAAAGTATGGTGAGATTTTCCTCCTTGTCCTGTCCCTTTTGTCCATCTAGGTACTCAGTTTCTGTGGCCCTCTCTGGAACCTCTCTGGGCCCATCCTTGGCAGCAGGCCTTTTCCAGTCTAACTCACCCACATTGCTGTTCCTGGGAAGATGAGGGAAGGGAACAATACTTTATTCTAGCATGGAAGAAGGACAAGCAACTTTCTTATCCTTCTGAGACAGAAACTGCTGGCTTGATGACCTGTGAGGGCTAGTTCTGCATGTACACTCCATCTTTTCTCAAAGCTTCTCTGTAGGTAAGAGCTGACCCTACACACTTCACTTCTCAGACCGCAGAGTCTTTACAGCTGAAGGTCCCTCTCCTCTGAGATGGACAATACCACCTAGCAGTATGCTTGCCCAGGCAACATGAACCAGGGCAAAAGTAACCGAGAACTGTTCCTACAATACTCAGCCACAGCCCCCAAACTGCTGGCCCACGTCTCCAAACTCCTCATTGTCTGCCGAAACTCAGGCATTGCCATCCCAAAAGGCATCAGGAATATCTTTGAGTTCACCTGGGAGGAACTCATCTGTGACCCTGCAGTGCCCACCCCATCTGAAATCCAGGATCTGGTGATCAGCTTTGGAACTCCTACAGTGGTGCTTACAGAGGTGATCCCAGTGCAGGTCCCCTTGCAGAAGAAGCCACCCCCTCCACCCCCACCCCCACCAGTACTGCTGACAACTTCCAGCAGGGGCAAGCCCTCGACCCCCACTCCTGCCTCTGCTCGACTGGTGCCCACTGGTCAAGAAACCCTGCATAAGTTCCAGCGGCAATCCATCCACCTGCTGACAGAGCTGCTTTCCCTGAAGATGAAGGCCATGGTGGAGTCTGCCTCTGGTAAGGCTGTTCACAGATTCCCTTCCCCTCTGTTTCTGAATAGGTACATGTGTGTCTGTGTGTGTACACATGCATAACATCTACCCCAACAGGTATGAGTTGTATGTGTGTGGTATCTGTGCACATGCATAACATATACCCCAACAGGTATAAGTTGAGCATCCACAATCCAGAATCTAAAATACTCTGCAGTCTGAGGATGTTGAATGCTCACATAATGCCACAGAACATTCCACAGCTGACAGTGCACGGTGATTCGCATTTAAGACGATCTTCAGTCTGCATACAGGGTGCACATGAAACATCAGAAAATTCCATGTCTAAGTCCCATCCCCAGATATCTCCATATGTAAAGGAAGATATTCCCAAATCCCAGTCTCCCTCAAAGTCCCTCACTCTTTTAGCTCAAGCCCTGGGTTAAGGGATACTTAACCTATATAAGTATGCACTAGAAATGGGAGTGGTGGCCTTGGGCGTGCTGCAAGAACCATGCTTCCCTCTTCCGTGCCAAGTACTCTCCTTTTGCCTTCTTTGTTTCTCCCACTTTCCTCCCAGTCATCCATCTCGAGTGCCCATCCAAAAGTTAGCAGTGTTGGCAATGAGACATTAGAGACACTGAAGGGAGCATTTGGGATGATGATACAGAGGTGGAAAGAGCTGCATTGGAGAGAAGAGACGTAGAATTTATGAATCAAGAGCCTGGTCCACCCAATGCCAAGAAAATTCTGAGCCCAGTGCCTCCAAACTGAGGGCATTATTCCAGGGATGGGGAAAACCTAAGAGAGTGTCAACAGAAGTCTCTTGGAGGCCTCAGTGCTCAGCTGCGGGCAGGCAAGCAGGGAGACTGGGAGTAAAGTACTGCCTGCTGGATCCTGAGCTCTCCGCTCAATCCAGTGTACATGTCAGGAGCACCTCAGCTTTACATCAGGAATGAGTCCACCTTTTTCTGGGCCTTCCTAGTCTTCCACTATTTCCTGGGCTATTTGCAAAGGTCTTTTCTGGAAGAGTCATCCTTGCCAGGAAGAAAACACTTTGTCTTTGTTCATTCCTTCAGCAGGTGCCAATCCTCTGGACATCACCAAGCGCTTTGTGGAGGCCAGCCAGCTTCTCCATCTCAATGCCAAGGAGATGGCCTTTGACTGTCTGACTGGCACTGTCGGAAAAAGCTGCTTTAGTTCAGCACAGCTGGGGAAAGGTGGGTACCCTCCCGCAGGGGAAATATGCAAACAGAGCCAACAAGAAGGTGCTAGGAAGGTAAAAGCTATAGTTGAAAGGCCAAAGCTCCCAAGAGCTGAGGTGGCTGTGGAGTAGCAGGAGCCCTAGACCCCAGCTGCTAGCAGGGACGACTCGCACACCTCTGGTGGAGGGCAGCCTAATTTTTTGTTGGTAGAAATGTCTACACCTCCCAACTCACCATGTAACTCCTCTTTCTAGTTCTAGAGTATGCTTCTCAAGAGTCAAGCTTCTAAAATTTCCAGTCTGTTGCACACCAGCCCTTCAGTACATATGGTAAATATGTCGTAGCAATGAAGTCACGACTCAGATTGCTGTCAGTTCTGACGTTTTATATCTGAGCTCACCTGTTCATGGCATATGGGAATCAGCTCCCATCTGCTGGCCACAACTTAGTCCTTACATACAAGCAGTCCTACAGGAATGTTTATCACAGAACCATTTGGAAAGGGAGAAAGATTAGAAACAGCTGTCGATCAATGGTGATGAATAAATTATGGTCCATGCAGATACTGTTTCATAGTGAGCATCAAAAAAGAACAAATCAAGCTGGGCACATAATGCATACCTCTCGTCCTGAGGCAAGAGAATTAGGAGTTCAAGATCATTCTCAGTTACCTAATGAGTTCTAGGCCAGTTTGGGCTACATGAGACCCTGTACCCCAAAGCAACTCAGCAGTGTAGGTAATTCTTAAAAAATATCATCTGGCAAAAGAAGGTATGAAAGGATGTGTTTGTGGTGATTTATTTAATATTTTAATATAAGCAAAGAGATGTTTTTTATGAATATCACAAAATATGGCTGAACAGGAGGAGAAACATTAGAGGAGGTGATCTTTGGAGATATGGAAGTAAGGGAGCAAGATCTGCAATATCACAATTCACTCGGGTCAGCAGTTCAATGTTTGTAATCTGTTTTCATTTCACCTCTTTACCTGTGTGCCTGAAGAGAACAGCTAAGCTCTGCCGACCTTCTTAGCAAATATCAAGTGCACTAAACTGTAAAGTGACAACACTGCCATGTTGCTCATTTGATCCCAGTACTTAGGAAAGTTTGTACCTAATACCAACATCACCCTGAATATGCACAGCAAACACCATTGTTCTTTCTACATCTGTGAGTTTGAACGTTTTAGATTTCACACATGAGTGAGCTCTTGCAGGATTTATCTTTTGTGCCTGGTTTATTTCACTTAGCATAATGCCCTCTAAACTTCTCTATCTTGGTGTAAATGGTAGGATTCCATTACATTGTCAGACCAAACACTGTCCTACTCTGTATGTGTATCACATTCTTTTTATTTGTTCACCCACTGATGGATACTCAGGCTGATCCCATTTGACTGTTGGAAATTATGCTGCAGTGAACACAAGTATACAAGTATCTCTTTTATGGTCCTGACTTCATTTCCTTTAAATTACCTGCAAGTGGGGTTGCCATACAGTAGTTATATTTATAAGTTTTATTTGACACAGGGTCTTGCTATGTAGCATTACCTTGTAATTTTCCCGCCTTAGATTTTCAAGTGCTGTGGTCACAGCTGTGCTGCTCCACACAGCAGTTTTAGCTCTTCAGAGAGTCTTTATTGTGGTTATGTTCAGTTACAGTGCTACCACAGTTACAAAACTCTTTCCTCCATGCCCTCATTAGCATTATTATTGTTTTTATTTTTGTTTATTATTATTATTTTGTTGCTTTTGTGACAGGATTTTTCTGTGTAGCCTTGGCTTGTTCTGGAACGTTCTCTACAGACCAGGTTGTCCTCAAACTCACAAAGATCATCCTGCCTCTGCCTCCTGAGTCTGAGATTAAAGGCATGTGCCACCACCACCTAGCTATTGTTTTTTTTTATTTTTGATAAAAGTCACAAAATGATATTTTATTGTGACTTTGATTTATAGTCTTCTGATGATTAATAACTTAAAACATCTTTTTATATATTGTTGGCCATTTGTATGTCTTTGGCAAATATCCATTCTGATTTTTTTTCAATCAACATCCCCCTGTGATGTTTTATATCTTTAGTTTGGTTTTATACACTAGTGTTCATTTGAATGCTTAGCAGTACTGTCATTAGACCTCAGAACAAATCTTATACCTGTGCTCTGTCGCCTGAGGAGTCAGCCACCATTTCACTACTCCCTGCCACCGAGTCAGTGACTTTATCAAGCTCCCCTGATGATTAGAGGTTAAATACCTGATAATGATAGACACATCAAGAGTAAATCGGTTAAATAGTAAAAATTCCAGATCTAGGAAAAAGCATAGGATTTCATGGAGGTTAGTGAAAGTAATGTAGGGAGTCCTTGAAAACTGTGGTGGGACTAAGAGGTGATGAAGAAGTTCCAGGACAGCCAGGCCTGCACAGAGATCTTACAGCAGGAAAAGATGCCAGAACCATGGAAAAGCTCCCCCTCTCCCATCATGGAAGTCACTCAGAAATCTCGCACTGGTTAACACTTGGCGCAGATATTTATCTCTCTCACTTTAAAAATTTTATTGATTGCTATTGTATATGTGTGCATGATGTGTACATGTGAGGTAAAAGCACAGCTCTATGTAGAATTTGGTCCCCTCTTTCATCGTTAGACAGGTTCTTGGGATTGACTCAGCTCATCAGGCTTTCAAAGTGGTTTTATCTACTGAGCTATCTCCCTAGACTGAGAAAGTCTTCTCTTTTAAAAAGCTCTGAGGATCTTTTTGCAGGGGGAGGGGGACAGGTAGGTGGTCAAAATAGTCAAATATAGTGGAAGGAATGGTCCATTTATTTCTTCTGGGAAGGCTTTCATTTGACTTAGGATTTTAATTAACTAGATTTCCTAATGCATTAAGTTCAAAGTTTGATAGTTTGTTGCAAAATTTGTGTTTTTATGGGATGCATTCTAGTAAATTTGCCTGGCGTGGCTCCTTAAACATACCCTTTGCTAAGGAGACGTTTTCCTGGTAGTACGACTGCTTTCTGCTTGTCTTCCTGTCATGACACCTGCCCTCCTGACTTGTCACAGACTAACTCAGGGCTGCTCCTTTATTCTCCTTTGACAGTGACATTGCTGAGTAAAAAAATCCAAAAAGAAAACACTCTTGTTATCTTGGTTCATGCATATATGTTTTGATAGTATTGTCATTGTCTCTCAGTTTCTGTTACATGTCAACTGAAGATGTTTGCCTGGGTGGCAGTATGGTTTGCAGCATGTGCCATGTGAGTGGGGATAGACTCCAACACTCACATTCCATATTTATCTCAGAGCTTAGCTTTACACGCTTTTTGCTTCTACTTCTATATGCAACTGTATTTTTCATTCTGTTGCATTGGTTAAGACTAATTTCCTAGGTGAGAGATTACTGGGGCAGAGGATTACAGTCTGTACAGCTTTCTACATGACTTTTCTCTACATGGACAGATTGACCATTAGCTCTTACCCATTTTTCTCATTTGTGCTAGAGTAGAAGGTGCTGAAAACTGTTTTAATTTTAATAGCTGAAGCATTAGCAAAAGTGATTGTTGTTTTGCTCCTCCAGGATGGAGGCTCTGTTTATAGTCTTTGTTTACTTAATGAGGTTGGGTTTACCATTTTCTTTATGAATTTGAGTGTGTTGAATGAATTTCTGAGCGTTTTCCAACATGGTTTTATGCCCAACCAGTGACGTAACTGTTTATGGGGAAAGAACCAGTGAATGAGGCCATGGGTTTCATATACGATTGTAAGTAGGAGTGCAGATATTCTATAGAGATCATTTGTGCTCTTCCCTTTGGCGCTCAGACTACTGGTACAATGAACCCAAAGAAATGGAATTTCCCCAGGAGCCTCATGCTTGGGAAGGAAAAAGACTTGAGTCTTGTTGCCAATCAGTGGGAAAACTTGTCTCCAAGAAAGAGATTTCACACAGGACAGACAACTTGTAGGTCATAGCTCAGAATCAGTGCTTTGTCAGTGTTGGACAAGCCTACACCTTGGGCAGGATTACTTGGTGATACATAATTCTTGTCCTCTATTATAATACATAATTCTTGTCCTCTATTTAAACCTAAGACTCATGTATCAGATGGTGGCACGGAAGACAGTGTGATGCTGTGGGACTGAGAGGCTGTTCAAAGAACATCTGATTCCCATGCGTTAGATAATGGGAGTGCCCACTCTCATCCCTTGCTCCCTACTGCCTAGATTTGTCCACACCTAGTGCCAAACTGACATGTGCACTTGCCTTTTGAAGAATTTTCCCTGTGCTTTCTTTCTGCTCCTTATGTAAGTGTGAGAGACTCTTCACCCTGAAGAGGCTGGGGCAGAGAGACCTGTAAAGGGAGCCTTAAGATGTTGCTTACTTATTGTGTTCTTGCGTTTATGTCTAGAAGTCTCTCCTCAGAAGACTTCCTGGTTGGTTTATGACTATAGGTAACTTTGCAATATCTGGCCCACCATCTTGTTTGAACAAGAAAACTATATTACATTTTTGTAATTTAGGTAAAATTGTAAGAGATTGTAAAGAAGATTCATTCTTCTTCTCTAGACTCCCCAATGAACATCTCTGCCATGGGAGTGAACACGCCCTACCAGCTGGTCTACCAGACTTCCACAGCCTGCCTGAGCTTCTCCCTCTCCACAGTAAAGGAAGGCAAGAAGAAAGGTGAGAAAGGAAATAATGTTTTCAGCCAGACACACACACTCTCTCTGTGCCTGTTTCTCTGGTGGGGAGAGTACACACCCTCTATCCTTGATGATGGTGGATTGGGAGGAGAAATGAATGACTAGATCAGCATCTAACCTGTGCAGTTGGTAGCATGGTTAGGTTTCATGTCTGCTAGAAGGATACTCAACTCGCCGAGATTCAGCAGCCTGTGACACAGATCCTTATAAGCCCTCCAGAGCTGCAGCACCTCCAGTCAGTGCAATCAGAATTGAATTCCATTCCAGTGTGTGTCCCCCATGCAATTAAGTCCTTCAACCAAGGTAGCATCCAAATCTGATGCCTGTGAATAAGACAGCTCTGTTCAGCCACACGGTCAGTGGAGAAATAGTGATCTTTGTGTCCCAAACTTAGCAGGCTCCAGTTCTGTGTTCTAGAGGGGCTACGATGCAAAACCACAGAAGACTCCCCTGCCCTGTTGAGAAAGGCCCACATAGAAAGGAAGAGAACCTTAGGGCAAATAACAGGTGAGAGAAAGCAGCTCCAAGGGGAGGGTATGGTGGAGAGGGGCCTGCTGGGAATAAGAGAGACCTCAGGACCTTCCACCCACCCTACCAACTATGATGACAGCATGAATGAGACAGACAGGTAGGGGAGGAGTGGATAGTGAAGGAGGGCAGGGTTGGTTCACATTGCCCCTTTGATTCCCACAGACACTGGAGGTAAGACTGGAAGTTGAGAAGCTTGAAGCCAAGTCTTCACCCGTCCTGGCTGCCTGTGTGACTTGTCTTCTCATGCTTCACCCTCCTTGGTAAAAGAGAACTGGTTACAAGGGCCTATGGAAGCATCAGCATTAAGCCCCACTTCATTGCTGTTGTTACTGTTCATTACTGTGTTCCTCAGTCTCTGATGTACCTTTAGTTATTGGCTGACTAAGTTCAGCCAATGACCCCCATTGCTGCAGAGTATAAGAGTCTTCTAACATGTTCTGCAGCTCTCCCCCAAGAGAATGTATTGCTCAGGAACTCACCTCTGAAGCCCACCGTATTTCTACTCCTTACCTCTAACTACAGGCAACAAAAAGGCTATAGATGAGATCACAACCCCACTCCCTCGAGCCCGAACCCCTCCTGAAAGCACTGTCGTTGAGTTCCAGGCCCAGGTCCAGGACCCCTGCCCTGAGGCCCGGGAAAAGCTGCAGGATATGTGTCGTCACATGTGAGTGCCTAGATATGGGGATGGCATCCATAGGAAGTGGGACACAAGGATAGATAAGATGGGTGTTGCAGCAGTAAGTGCACCCCCCATTCCAGTCCAGCTGTGTCCTACACACACACACACACACACACACACACACACACACACACACACACAAGCCCATGGTCCTTCCAATTTATAGATAATAAGAAAAGTAAAGCAGTTCCTGAGCTTGCCTAGCTCTGTCAGCCCAATTCCTGTTCAATGCTCTTTGCCTCTGTAACATCCTCCCTCGCCCAAGGAAGTCCTTTGTGTGGCTCCTGGCAATTCATAGACTTTATGCCCCAAGTGCTAATTTTTGGCATAATTTTCCAAGTGTTCAAAAAAATCTCCCCCCAAAATATATCATCTACATAGGTGATTCCTAGTATATTATTTGGGGATACTGTGAGGCCTAACAAAAACCCATTTTTCTAAGGGCCCAGCTCATAAAAACTAAAATCCTTTTCATACCTAAGTTATATATGTCTCCTGGGATCATATGGCCACGGCAGAGGTAGGCAACAGCCACCCAGTTTACCTCTGTACTATGACATTCTAGATGAGGGGGGTAGGGCGGATGAGGGAATAGTCTGTCTCCAGCTGCTCCAGAGTTTGCTCCATAGAGCCCTACTCCATAGGTCCAGACAGACAGTCAGACACAGCTGGTCTTTCCAGGGCATATTGACACCTTCCCACTTCCTCCTAAAAGTACTGCCTTTGCTCATGAGGAAGACTGGGAAGAAGATGTGTACTTTAGGACAAGGGGACTGGGCTAAGAAGGGGCTATAGAGAACCTCTCTGAAGAGAGAGAACCGGGCGCCTAGAAGATGCGTTCATCTCCTTCCCACAGAGAAGCCGAAAGGATCTTGTGGAAAGGGAGGAATATCTCCTGCCCCATGATTTTACGCAACTACAGGGCAAAGATACCCTCTCATTTAATGTTGACCTCCAAGGGGGACCCTCACCAACCTCCCACTGCGGGGACTCAGGTTACTGCTTCCACTCCTAACCAGCCTTCCAGCCACCATGCTCACACGGGTCGCCATTCTCAAGAGTGGAAGGGGCCCAAGAAGCCAATCAAGCTGCATTACACTTTCTATGATGGCTCTTCCTTCATTTAATATCCTTTTGATGGGCTTGTTTTTCTCCTCAACTCAGCCCCAGAGAACTCCAGGGCTTGAAACAGCTAACTAGTCAATGGGGATTCTTGGTCAACTAGAGAAACCTGGTGAGGATGCTCCAGGGATAAGTGGTGGTTCAGGTCACGCTCTGGAAGGAGTGAGGAAGGAATTTAAAGTTAAGTACAAGTCCAGTATAGTTCACATCAGTAGGAGTATATCAAGCTCCTTATACCTGTGAAAATCTTGTCTGTGTAGATGGATCCTTGCCTTCAAGGCATCCACCAGGAGAGAGAAAGCTATAGACAGGGCAGTTCATTTCCAGCTGAGAGAAAAAGTGAGGTGTCCCTAAATGTTGTGGTAGGGGTTGTTTCTCGGTTCCTTATTCACTAGTTTTACCCTGTGGTCTTTGCACATCACCTCTAAGGTTCGAGTGCTTAGAGTCTAAGCACTCATCCCACTTGCTGCACATCTGTTTGACCGCAACTGAGGTCTGCTTGGTTGTGGTTGAATGTGAATGTTGGGTGCAAAAGTGGCAGAAGAGGACACATTTCCCCCTGTGAATCTGATGGGCAGTATAGACCCTCTTTCTAGAAATATGGATATGTGTGCATATCCACACACATGCAAATTGTGAGCTGCAGCTGCAGGAAACTTGCGGCCCACAGAAAACAGCCTTTTTGCCTGGGCTTGAACTCCAGTCCAGAAAGCTCAGGTTTGTGCCATGCCTTGGAGTGGGTTGAGTTGGCTGCTTTTTCTACTCACAGAGATGTAACAAGTAGCTATTATGTACAGTGGGTCAATAATGAACTGGATAGACCTGGTTCATGAGAACCTCAGAAGGAGCAACTTTAGTCTGATTGTTGTCTTCTAAAATTAGGAAAGGAATTTGAATTTGACGATAAAGGTCAAAAAGAGAGATCCTTTTGGAAAACATGGAGTTGAAAAGTCCCCTTTACTGTCCCTTTCAGGCACATCTCACCCATTTCCTCTCCAGCATCTTCTAGAGCTACACCAGATCCAGATGTCCAGCCTTAGGGCAATGTGAACTCTGAGTCCTTTGGAGGCAAAACACTTATTCCAGGTTCTGAGTTACACTAACTTCAAGGATGGGAGACATGACACAGAGTCATCTAGTTTTGCTCCTTTGTTGTAGAAACAGGGAAACTGAGCCCCAAAGAGGCAGTGTGACCTCTTTGTCACAAAAGGAATTTGGTGACAAAGCCTCAAGAGAAAAAGGGCTATTGTGCCTCTGTTTTGGTCCTCTCTCAGATACCAACATTATGTCCTTAAAGATCATTCTGCATGGTAGAAAAGCATAGAAGGAAGACTTGGAAGGCCCTGGGTAATCATATCTCCTACCATTGGAGCAGAGGGTGGGTATCTGAGTTAGCTCAGCTCCTTTCATGGGGCCATGGCACTGAACAAGTTTGCCCAGAAACAGCCTCCTCACTTTGTTCTACTTCCACTTTACTGAACTGGGTATTAAAGATTTAAGCACCATGTCAAAGGAGTTTCATTGTTTCTCTGCCCATAAATGGATCCATTCTTCACACCCTCCCAGCCCTGCCTCTCCTCATTCCAATATAGAAGAGGCAAACTCCTTCCAAGGTAGCTATTGCTTGAGAAGGTTGTGGAGCTCCTTAGCCCCTTATTTCTGACTCTTCACTACATTAACCAGATTCAACACTGTGTTTACAGGTTAGATTTCTAGCAATGGGACCAGAGAATGTTTGCCATGGATCTTTGTTCCTACCTGTCTCAGAATTATGGGATACCTTATATGGAACCATCTCAAACCTCTTCTCCATTGCTGCAGGGACATTCGACTTCTACTTCATCAGTGATGGCATCTTGACAATTAGTCTGTTTTCACCTTGGGAATTACAGAGACCAGGTTCAGTTCTTCTCTACATTCATTTCCTGTCTTGTCAGTGTGACAAAATACCACACCAGGTATTTGGGGAAGGAAGAATTTATTTTGGCTCTCAGTTTGAAGGTATAGGCCTTCATGTCAGGCATGAGGGCAGATGTGCAAAGTGGTTGATGACATGAGTCACAGCCAGGAAACAGAGATGAATGCCAGCCTGGGACCCTGGCCCATGGAATGGTGCTGCTCACATTTAGGTCTACCTCAGTTAAAACCCTCTCGGAGGAAGTGCTCTCACAGACACCCACAGAGACTTGTCTCCTATGTAATCCTAAATATCATGAAGTTGACAGTCCACATTAGCCCTCACAGTGACCCTGCACACATTACTCAATCTGTGTGCCTCACTTCTATTGGTTACATGATGAGTGAGCTGGATCCAGTAATCTTAAAGAAGTTCTGTGTCTCTGTGTCCAAAGGCTAAGTAAGGTACACCAGCCAGCTATTGGGTCCCTCCCAAGTGAAAGATGTTTGGAAAGCTTTTCTTCACCTCTTGGCTTCTTCAGAACAGTGGCTTTAGCCACCAACTCTGTTTTTACATACAGAGCTCAGATAAAAATGGTAGGTCTTTGTTCATAGTCACCAGGTTGGCCAGTTGCAAGCCATAGCTGATTTGAACCTGCTGGTCCAGCCCTCAGAACCAGTTCTGTGTTCGTGTCACCATTCTTCACAGAAATCAGCTGGAACCCCCTGTTTTTAACTTGTGCTTTCCTGATTCCAGTGATGTTGAGCAGCTTTACATTTGCTTCTGTTCGGAGAAGTATGTGTTCTAGCATTTTGCTCATGCCTTGGTGTGTTTTGGTGTGGCACTTGCTAGAACTTGAACCTATGGCCTCAAATGTACCAAACATGCTCCATCCACCACTGAGCTCTGCCTCTAACCCCAAAGGTTGTTAATGTTGATAAAGTCCAAATTTCCACATTTTATTAATCATGCTTTTGGTTTCAACATCCATGACATCACTGCCAAATCCAAGGTCATGAAGATTTAGCCTGTGTTTTCTTATATCAGCTTTATAGGTGAAGCTCTTAATATAAATCTTTGAGGTATTTGGAGCCAATATTTACATCTTATATGAGTTAAGGGCCTTGTTTCATTCCTCTGCACACAGGTATCCTACTGTCCTAGTGCCAATTGTCAAAGAGACCATTCTTTCCACTTGGAATGGTCATGGAGAGCTTGGCAAAAATAAATTGATGGAAGTGTCTATTTTTAATCTACTCTTATAATTTTGGTGTCTATCCTTATGCCATATCACATTGGTTCAATTATTAAAGATTTGTGGTAAGTTTTTAGATCAACACGTGCTGTGAATCTTCCTAGTTTGGTTTTTGTTTTAGTTGTTTGAAATTTCTTTCTTCTTTCTTTTTTTGAAACAAGATCTCTCTGTGTAGCCCTGGCTGGTCTGGAACTCAAGAGATTTTTGCCTGCCTCTGCTTCCCAAATGCTAGGATTAAAGATATGAGCAACTATGGCCAGCTTCATTCAGTATATTTTGCTTCTGTAGATTTCCTCTCCGTCTCCTCTCTTTCCTGACTTTCTAATGATCTTTCCTGGGGTTCTGAGGATCTATTCTTTCTTGGATTAAAAATAAAAGATAATATCTCACATTGTAGTTTAGGCTGACCTGAAACTGTGTAGCTCAGGTTAGCTTAGAACTCACAATCATCTCCTGCCTCAGTGTCCCAAGTTCTGAAAGTCCAGGCATAAGTTCTCATACAGTTCCTTCTTTTCCTTTATAATGTACAATCTGTATAATTTCAACTCATTTACTTTCCAAAACAGTTATTTTTTCTTTTATTGTTTTAACTTGCTGCTTCATTTGTTTAGTGTAATCTTTGTTTCAATCATTGGACTACCTATCTAGGTCTAGAATTTCTGGTCTGTGCCATCTTGTGGATCACTCTGTGTGTCACTCTGTGTCTTTTCCACTTGCTTGTCACCCTCCCTCTTTTCACTTCTGTTTTTATTTGGCTGGTGGGAAAGATTTAGGAGGACAGATTGCAGTACCAGTCACTACAGTCCTACCTGGAACACTGCTTCTGCAATTCTGTATAGAGAAGGAGCTGCCAACACAGCTCTTCTGAGGATCAGTGCTTCTTGAGACCTCTCAAGATAAGGAAGGAGCAGAGAGAATGTCCTTTCCCACTAAATTGGCCCAAGGGGGAGGCAGCCTGACAGTACTAGAAATACTGCTGGTTCTGGAGATCATCCCCTGGCCCTGTCACTCGCTGGTGGTGTAAGATGAGACAAAGCATGGGGTGACCTCCTCACCCTGCACCCAAGACCTTCATGTGTTCGTATTAAAAGTCTATGAAGTACCATTTAGACCTGTGAAAACCCTGACATGTGAAATGGAGAAAGGACCACTTCCCAGAAGGTAGTAGAGAGGAAGGGCCTGGAGCATGGCTGGGTTCCATAATTATCTGTGACACATGCAAAGCATAGGCAGGATCTTTGAAGGAAGGAAGCAGTGCGCAACAGAAGCATCCTTTTGTAAGAAGGCTTGTTTCTGTGGGGACCCTGATAGCCAGCACCTGGAGAGCTGTGTTAGTTTGACTTGACTGTGTCTGCCAGCTATCCCTCCGGAAACATCGCCATGCTTCAGATTCCCACATGCTGCAGAGGGAAACCCATCACCTGCCTCTTTAATGACATGCCTAACACCTTCCTGGCTCTGTTCAATGCTGATGGCCAAGGCTGTGTTTACTACAACCTAAAGAACTGGTGAGTAGGTCAAGGGACATCTAACCTTATGAAGTATCCCTTGAGATAATTGGTACCGTGTATAATTAGTGACTAAAAGTTTCTAGTTTAAGGAGTCTAGGGAGGTGCTGAGGCAGGGTGAAGCAGTACCCATAGGAACCTGTGGTTCTTTGAGGCCCAGCTTCTAGGTACATGTTGTACTTTACAAAGTGAGAAGGAACCTACTCTAAGTCCTCCCACTGGTACACCAGAACACCAAGATCTCCCTCCATTCTTGGTCCGATAAACAGGGTGGTTTGTTTGTTTGTTTGTTTATTAATCTTTGTTTTTGTTTTTTGAGTCAGGGTTTCTCTGTGTAGCCCTGGCTGTACCAGAGTTCACTCTGTAGACCAGGCTGGCCTCAAATTCACAGAGATCCACCAGCCTTTACCTCCCAAGTGCTGGATTAAAGGTGTGCACCACCACCTGACTGATACACAGGGTTTTTGTTGCCATTGTTTTCCAGTGCCAAGGACCAGAACCTCATAAATGCTAGGCAAGCACTCTGTCATTGAGCCACACCCCCAGTTTTCACCCCAGGAGAATTTTTTAGTGGAAAAGTATCTTACACTAGGAGTGGGTAAACAACTTGTGAATACAACTTATGTGGTGTATTTATTACCCATTACTGTGGTGAAGTACCTGACATTAATAACTTGAAGGAGAGATTTATTTTGGTTTGCAGTTTCAGAGGTGTTAGTTTGTTATAGCACAATGGATTAGAGCAGTTCATTTCATGGTGACCTAGGAAATAGAGAAAGGAGATTACAAGGGATCAGAGCAAAATACAGCCCTCCCCAAGATACAATTTAGTGACTAGCTTCCTCCTCCTCTTGTCTTTCCCTACCTCCTAATGATGCCAGCATATTATGAACCCATCAAAGGATTAATCTACTGATCAGGACAGAACACATAGGATCCGTCCATCTCTGAAAGCACAGATAAACCCAGAGGCACACTCCACTAATCTAGGCATATCCAAGCTACTCAAGTTGACAGTTCAGATTTAGAGCAGCACATTCTCCTGATAGCTAAGAGTTGACCTTTGTGTAGCTTTTCATAAGTAGTTTTTGGAAGGTGTTACTTTCATGTTTGGATGTTGTAGCTCACATTTTGGTGCTTGATATCTTTGTGCCAGGCTACAGAACTACAGAAAAAAATTCATTTTTAATCCTTTGGGTTTTGCTTGAGCCTACATTATCTGCCTCAGCCTGTCCCCTCTCCAAAGATGCCCCACTAGCGTCAGGTGGTGTAAGGAGTCCTAGACTACAGTGGGTGGAAAGGTGAAGCTGCTCACAAGAGTCTTCAGATTCTTTCCTTCCCTTCCTCAGGTTGTTTGTGTCAGGTAAACATTTCTTCAGACTAGGGCAGGCTTTCGCAGCCCTGCCTGTGTGTAGCCTGCAGTAAGGAGGGAATTCTTTCAGGGCCTCTAAGTAGTTTCTATCTTCTGTGTATCTCCCAGCAGTCCATATGTCTTGGTTTTGGATGAGGAAGGTGGAATCACAAATGACCAAAAGGGCTGCATAGTCCATAAGTGGAGCTGGACTAACAAGACTGAGACATTACTCTCTCTGGAATACAAGGTATGTGGGCATCATGGGTGGGAGGTGGCTTCCACAGGCTGCTCAGCATCGAAAGGCAGGCACCTGTGAGACTGCACTGCCCCAGCAGCCACATGATCTTCAGAGGTTATGAGTCAGTTAGTAGTGGTTTAGAGTAGGTTCTCTTGCTTTCCTCCAGCCTGTAGCAACTGTGGGCTACTTTACTGACCCTTCATGGCAACATCCTTTCTATTTGATTTTTATTTATATTGTTGCATTTTGTTGTGGAATATTCATTTTACGAAGCAACAGTTACAGTAGTTAACAATGTTATTTTTGATAATTTAATTTTCAGGTTTTTAGAAATTTATTACATTTATTTTGTAGAAAACTGGCTAGTAAAGAACCAAGCAATACCTGAAGAATTGGAGAATTTGGGTTCATTTTATGCTAGCTAGCTTGGGCTGAGCTCATGTTCTGCAAGTCCAACTGCCCACTTATAGTTTCTTACAGTTTTTATAGGCTTACATCAGTTTTGTAATTTCTTGCCTACGTGTCTATTTACAGGTAACCTTATGTTTCATGGTCATGGAGGGAAAATTTCACTGTGGTTAAGCATGTTTACAGAAGGGAACATTATGGGTATCAGCTAAGACATTCTACCTTCAGTAAGTAAGACTTGTCTAATCAGAGAACTAGCTGTGTCTCAAAATCAAATTTGGCATACTTAGGCTAGAAGTAAGGCTTTATTTCATTTGTCTCTATATCTCTATAACTTTTAGGCCAAAATTGTTATTCAGCTATCAGAGTTCAAGACAGCAATTTGTCTATGTAAGGAACATACTCAATAAATATGTAGCACATATTTCTTTGTGTGTGTGTGTGTGTGTGTGTGTGTGTGTGTGTGCGCGCGTGCGTGTCATAAAACACATGCAGAGGTCAGGGGACACCTTTGCAAGGAATTTGTTCTCTCCTGCCATGTGAATCCCCTAGTCTGTCTTGGAAGCATGCACCTTTATTCACTGAGCCATCTTGCTGACCTTATAGGGTTTTATGTGTGTCTATGTATGTATGTGTGTGTGTGTGTGCCCATTATGTGACTTTCCTAAGATGTGAACAAATGTCTATTCACCCTACATAGCGCATAAATGCATGACTAAAGAAATGATTCTACCACAGTCAGGCTTATTGGAGTTACTTGTGAACATATTCATGAGAGTTACTTACAAAACCTGACTCTAAAGCAACTAGTTGCATTATCAGACATCCAACCCTGGCATGCTTGATAACCCACAAAAGATGCATCCCTGGAGTTTTTTTATACAGCTTGTAAGCAGCTAGACAGGTACCAGAGTCTCTCTACACAGCTTAGCTGACCCCAGAGTCTCCTCCCCAGAACTTATGTCTTGCATAACTTAGGCAGGGGCCCTAACAATCTTTTAAATTTCAGCTTTCCTGGATTTGTAAACTTGTTTATTTCCTAAGTATTAGGAGCCTCCTTCCTCCCTCCAGGACAGTGTTTCAGTTCAGAGGAAATTGCTGCACAGTAATGCCTGTCTGTGGCAATAATACAGATAGGATGGCACTGAACTCCTTATCTTTCTGCTCAGTCTTCTGAGTGCTAGGATTGCAGGTGTACACTGTCATGCCCAGCTATTTAGCACTGTGCCTTATATTTTAGTTCCCCTGGGAGGTGCACAGCAAAGGCCTATATGATCAGAAGTTGCCTGGAATTGAAAGTGGCCCATGAATTATAACTTGGAGTGACAGTGTTTGATTCAGAGGTGGGGAAGGGAGTACAATTCTCAGTAAAATGAAAGAATGACCATTACTTCTAAAGGCTTTGTGTTGGGGGATTGGTATGGCACCTGTTAAGAATCCATATGTGCTTCCTATGGAAGAAAGTAGATAACATAGAGTAGGATGACAGGCACCAGGTATCAGGCTCTGGAGAGTTTGCATGCTGTATTTAACTAGTTTTAACTCAAATACTGGCTTTTTCTAACTCCCTTCATTTTGCCCTCCAAATCCAAGCTACTTTGAAGTTCTCAATCTGAAGAACTTCTTTGGCATTTCTATAAATAGAGATCTTTTGGCAACAAGTTTGCTGTTGTTTTCATGTGAAAAATGTCATTGTTAAGGGATTTTTTCCCCCAAGACTTTGTTTCTCTGTATAGCTTTGGACCCTGTTCTGGAACTCACTCTGTAGCCCAGACTGGCCTCGAACTCACAGAGATCCACCTGCCTCTGCCTCCTGAGTGCTGGGAATAAAGGCGTTCACTACCTGGCCATTAAAGGATATTTTTATGGGATATGAGATTCTGGATTGGCTTTCTTTTTTCATTTAACATTTTAAAAATAGTGTCACATTGTACCTTTCCTCCATAGTTTAGGATGAAAGTCTGAATCTGTAGTTACCCAAATTTGCTTTCTCTGGTTGCTACATTTTAAAGGTTTTCTCTCAGTTTCTGGTGTGCTGGTTAGTTTTTGTCATTTTGATACAAACCTAGACATATCTAGGAAGGGAGAGAATTTTAATTGACTCTCATATTAGATTGGCCTGTAGGCAAGTCTGTGGCAGGAGCATTTTCTTTATTAATGATTAATGTGGGAGAATCCAACACACTGTAATCAATGCTACTTCTAGGCAAAGTGGTTCTAGGTTGTATAAGAAAGCAAGACGAAGGCCTGGAGAGATGGCTCAGTGATTAAAAACAGGCCACTCTCCCATAAGATCAGTTTTCAGCATCCTTGTGGCAGTTAACATCCATTTGTAACTGCAGTTCCAGAGGATCCGCCTCCCTTTTTTGGCCTCCATGAACAATGTATACACATGGTGCACAGATATACATACAGGAAAAATACCCATACATATAAAATAAAAATGTTTTAAAATAAAGAGAACAAGTCAGTAAGTAGCGTTCCTTCATGACCTCTACTTGAGTTTCTGTCTCTGTTCCTGCCATGCTTGAGTTCCTGTGTGAGCTTCTCTCAGTGATGGGTTGCAACTGGGACATTGAAGTCAAACCTTCTCCTCACAAACTTGCTTTTGGGCAAAATGGTCTTTATCACAGCAATAGAAAGCAAACTAGGACACTTAAGTTTGATGGTTTTTTTAAAGTATGGTTGTCATGTTTATTCTATTTTATTTGTGTTTTAATCTTTTAAATTGTAAGTATATGTAAATGCATTTAATCAAATTTGAAAAATCTTCTATCATTTCTAGAAGTATAAACAATACACAATACAACTATGTCCCAGACTTTCTTCTTTTCTTTGGAGGTGCCAATTATATGTATTATACTTTTAAGGTGTGTTTGTGTGCCACATATGTGTAGATGCCCTTAAAGGCCAGGGAAGGATGGTGCCTAAAAGGCAGTTGTGAGATACCTGGTATGGGTTCTGGAAACTGAACTCTGGTCCTCTGGAAGAGTAGCAAATGCTTTTAATTCCTGACTGCCCCATGGGTCTTTCGAGCTCTTTTTGTTGTGGTTCTAATTTTCTCTCTTTGCTTTTCAGAAGTGTGTAATTTCTCTTGATCTGTTTCCAAATTCTCTGACTTCCTTGTCATCTCATTTTTGCTTTTATGATAACCTTATAAAAAGTTTAAATTTCAGTATTCTAGAATTCTCTTTAGTTTTTTTATATATATTATCCTTTTGCAGGGAGCTTCCCTTTCAACAATTCACAAGCTTATTTCCCCTTATATCATTGAATATTGTTGCACCAGGTGTCTCAGAGTATAATGTGTAAAGATTTCTGTGTCCTGGTTGTGTCAAACATGGCCAATTTCAGTCATTGACCTGTTGCCTTGAGAATGGCTCATTATTTTTAATTCCTTCTTCTACCACAGAATTTTGGGTTATAGACTGCCACTGTTACGCTGTGGAATCTCAGAATTCTAGTGTCTTTCTGTGAATGGTATTGGATGTGATTGTTCTAAAAGGCAAAGAACTTGGTCAAACTGAAGCTATGAACTTTTCCGCATCAGCAATAGACAGAACCTCAAATCACAGCATTTTAAATTTCTCTGTGAGCTGTCTTGAGACTGTCTTCACATGCAGGGTTTAGGGACTGGCCAGAGATGTGGGAAAGTGTGTACATAGAATCTTAGACTCTTCTCAGACTCAGTCCCTTCCAGAACTCTTTGTATACTTTACTGTGACTTCTGTTGCCCATGTTCTGGTCTCTGCACCCTTCACCAGAAAGTGGTAGTTTTCACCTCTCAGCTAGAACTTTGAGACAGAAGTTCCTTTCATACTCATCCTTAAGTTTGGCTCTTCAAAATCTGCCTGACTGTGCTCACTCTTCTGAGCCACTAAGTAGTTTTTTGGGGGGTAGAGGGGGGTTGTTTTCATTTTTGTCAACTATTTAGTTACCTGTGGGAGGTTCAACCTTTTAGGCATTGGTTTAGCTCTACTAGAAGTAGGGTCAGCTGCTTAGCTTTTTGACTGAGAGCTGGAATGCTCAGTTCAGCCTCAATGTGGAAGGTTAATGAGAGTAAAGACCAGAGCTAGAGCACCGACTCAGTGCTTAAGACTGTGTACTGCTCTTGTAGAGGACCTGAGTTTGGTTTCTAACACCGTCACTGGATGGTTCACAATGACCTCTAACTCCAGCTCCAGGGAATCCGAAGACTCTGTCCCCGTGGGCATCTGCATTCGCATACACATAACCCCCAACACACACAATGAAAAATAATACATGTTTTAGAAAAGGAAAGACCAGCAGATGAATGAGTAGAATGATTAATGCAGTTACTAGCAAGACCTAGCACAGTTAGAGATGTTGGCAGTGTTTTTTTTTTTTAACAGGACCATTTCATCAGATGAATGCTAGCATTCAGGCATAAACTGCAGAGATAGATGAGGATGAAGACATTGCAAGAGTCCTGGGATTCAGGAATGAATATGAGCATTTTTAAATTAATTTTTAAGTTAGCATGCAGAATAACAAACTTGTTATAATATTTTGCATATATATTACTATACCTTTATGGTTTTAGATGATCATGATTTGACTTAGTAGAAAAGCTCTCTGGGTACTTATGACCTTATTCCTGACCTGGAACAAGAACTTGGAGAGAACAGATAAGCCAGGTATCAAATGATCTCTTCAGAAGAGGAGCCTTGACTGAGGTTATAGAGCAGGACACGTCCCCAGGGAGCTTATGTTAAACTTTGTGCATGTTTTAGCCCACAGACTATATCAGCACCCTTAGAGAATGGCTGTATTATTGATTTCCCTAAATTATTCAATTGCTAAGAGGCAAAACTAGAATAGAATCTGGTCCCTCAGGCAAAGCTTGAGTTCCTGAAGACATCTCTATTCTGTTTCTCAAGAAGACCCGGAGTGGGTAGTTTCTCTTAAGTCAGAGATATCAGCATGTCTGAAGATATCCAGAGATTTTGCACATCATGGTTTATTATCTTTCAGATACTGATGGGCCAGATCCAGATGACATTGTGTGTGAGGCAGAGACTCAGTGATGAGAAAATGAAGCCCTGGCTACTGGGTCAACATCTGAACTAGTGGAAGTAGGAGGAGCAGAACAGAGCAGAGAATTCTCTTGATGCAGAACAGTCTGGGGTATCTTGTCATTAAAGAGATGTTGTAGGTCAGAACACTGAAGACTGGGAGGAACACAGTGATGAAGGGCTACACGCTCTGTGGTCTCAGATGAGTAACACTCAGAATTGGCAAACTGTTCACAATTAAACAAGCTGCCCTGTTCTACATCCTCTGACACTGTTCTTTTATGAGGGCAGGAGCATTTATGACTTAAAAAGACACTCCTGTCATTAAAAACCTCCTTTGAATAGTAGCCCCATGGCTACATCATGCTAAAGGGTTTGAGATTCAGACAGACTGAACAGCTTGCTAACAGAAAAAGACTCAAATTAGTTGGTGTTTGAGTAGTCACATCCCAGGGCAGCCTACGGATTCAGACGGATTCACCTGCTTGACACCTGTGCTTCTTTCACAGCTGTTTCCAACAGTGGGAAGGAAGGAAGGAAGGAAGGAAGGAAGGAAGGAAGGAAGGAAGGA